GTCAGAATTAAAGTCTTACCTAGGAAATGAGTATTCCAATTCTTTTAAATGTATTCATTTAAATACTTGTTTTTTGATGAGTTTTGTTTTTCGTTTGATGTTATTATGTTATCAGAGACGTGGTATACTGATGAAAGCGACGTTTTTGAATTGCCAATGTATAAGAGCTATTTTTTGAACAGGTCAACTGGTCGTGGAGGTGGTGTGTCACTTATGGTTCGGAATAATACTTGCTGCGAAATGGTAGAAGAATTCACATGCGTTAATCAAGATTTTGAAGTGCTATCATTGCTTGTAAATCACAGCATAATATTGGTATTGTACAGACCGCCGGGTGGATGTCTAACGTCGTTCTTTTCTTTTCTAGACACCTATTTCAGTTACGCTAATGAGAACAGATATAACATTATCCTGGGGGGAGATTTTAACATAAACATGCTTGTGGACACCCCGGCAAAACGACAGATGGATCTGCTGATTAATATAGCTGGCTGCAATAGTGTGATAACGTCCCCCACGAGAATCCCGTCTGATTCTTCAACATTGCTCGATCTGCTCATCACAAATTATGACCTACCGTGTATAAAATCGGGGATAATGACCACTGACATCAGTGACCATTTAGGTGTCTTTATGTGTATAAAAAAACAGATCATTAAAGCTAAAAGTCCAAAGCTACATGCATCCTTTCAAAATATTACAACTAACAGCCTTTCTGTATTTAGGCAGAGACTTTCAAACTTGGAATGGGGTGAGGTATATGAAGAAGAGGACGCGAATGAAGCATACAACTTGTTTTTACACACATTCGTGCAGATATATAGAGAATGTTTTCCATATAAATCAGTTAAGATATCGAAAAAAATCCGTAAGCCATGGATTACCCCAGAGTTACTAGTCAAGATAAACAGGAAAAATATATTGTACAAATCATTTGTAAGAACGAGAGAGCCTGAAGATCTTAAAACATTTAAAGTATACCGCAACAGATTTACTAAAGAACTCAAAAGCGCTAGAGATAAATACTTCAACAACTTATTTTCATTGTCAGCTAAGCGGACGGACATCACCTGGAAAAATATTAATAATGTTCTTAATCGTTCATCTGAAATAAAACGAATTGATAAAATCTGCATAGATAATGCAGAACTAAAAGAGCAAGAGTTAGCAAACGCCTTTAATAATCATTTCGTGAACTTGCCGAGAGACAGTCCTAATGAAAATGCTTGCTCATATATTGAAAACAAGAATGATCAGTCCATATTTCTTGAGCCAGTTGTAGATACGGAGGTGACGCTGACGTTTTTATCACTAAAGAACAGTGCAAGTTGTGACGCTGACGACATGCAAATAAGGCCTATAAAACATGTTATAGATCTAATATCTCCCTGTTTAACGCACATCTTTAACTTGTGTTTGCAGTGTGGGGTTTTCCCTGAAAAAATGCAGATTGCCAGGGTAACTGTTTTGTATAAAAAGGGTGATAAGAATGACATGGGGAATTATAGACTTATTTCAATCATATCAGTATTTTCTAAGGGCTTCGAAAAAATCTTGCTTTTGAGACTGATGAAGTTCTCGGATAAATACAATATAATCACTCCGTCACAGTTTGGGTTTCGTAAGGGCCGATCTACGGAACTCGCTCTCCTAGAGCAAAAAGAATATATTTTGCAAAGTTTTGAGGATAAAAAAATGACCCTTGGGATTTTTATTGATTTCACCAAAGCATTTGATTATTTAAATCATAGACTGCTCATAAAAAAACTAGAAAAGTATGGGTTCCGTGGACCCGCGTCAGCTCTTATTTCGTCATACCTTGCTCATCGTAAACAGTACGTTCATATTAACGGTTATTCTTCTGACATTAAACCAATCGTATCCGGTATCCCACAAGGCAGCATTCTGGGCCCTTTTTTGTTTAATTTATATATTAATGACATTGTCAATGTAAATAAAAGTACAAAATTTGTGATTTACGCTGACGATACAAGTCTATTTTTTAAAGGAGACTGCTGTTTTGAGCTAGCAAATAGAGCTAATCAAACTCTACATAAGCTGGGTAGCTGGAGTAACTCTAACGCGCTAAAAATAAACGTCAACAAAACCAAGGCTGTTTTGTTTCAACCAAAAAATAAAAATGCCTCTATCCCAACAGATATCGTGTTGGATACGACCAAAATTGAGGTTTTGACTCGCTTCAAACGCTTGGTATTATATTCACGGAACGAATGACGTGGGATGACCATGTAAATCACATTTTGATAAAGTTGTCACGGGTCGTTGGCATATTATGCCGTCATCGCTCCATTCTACCAGCAAGTGTTAAATTAATCATCTACAACTCTTTATTTCTCTCGCATGTGCACTACTGTCATCTTGTCTGGGGAAATACTACCAATGTAAATTTAAACAAGATACTTGTGCTCCAGAAAAAAATAGCACGGGTTATAAGTAATGTTTCATATAATCACCCTAGCAGATCTCTTTTCGAAAGTTTGAATATATTGAATGTGTATAGTTTATATAATTACCGTTTATGCCTAAGGTACAAGTCCGAAGTCATGAACAATATATGTCATCTTGTCAACCTAGCGTCTCTTACGAGGAGATACCCAATATATTCAACTCGCAACACAGACAACTGGAAAGTGCCAAATTGTAGAACTACTTACGGTGAGCAGATGTTATCGAATATATTACCCAACCTACTTAATTATCTGAATACTCAAAATATGGAACCCCTAACATCAACATTGAAAAAAATCCAATCCTTTTTTAAGCGTGTAATTTGATGACTTCGATCGAGCAATGTTCTAGTGCCCTGACGTGTGTATAGTTATTATGTCTGTTTGCCATAAGCTCATAATTTATCATAACTTATATAACAGTGCTTAATCATGCTCTCGATATCTCTGAATATGTATGTTTTTGATGCGATAATCATGACTTTTTATTGAACTGTTAGAGTTAAACTTGCTACATTTTGCATGTCATTGAGATGATTCGGTGAACTGAGCTTGTATTTTTTTTTTTTTTTACTTTCTGTTCTTTGTGAGCTGCTGCTGCTGCTGATTGTAGGGAGGGGGTCGAGGACTCGTCAAGCTGCATTTGCGCAGCTTTTTTCCTCTGTCTCCTTCCATCATGAATGTGATGGAGAAATAAACATTTATTTATTTATTTATTTATTTATTTAAAATGCCCGCAGCTTTTTACTCACGGTATGTGTCGGGAATCTTCCACATTTTGAAACGAAACGAAGGAAGATTTACTTTTAAAAACGCTCGCGGCGTCCTCCCGGACCAGCTGGACCAAATCAGTTGACGACGAGGGGACTGAACCCGTTGAACCCCAGCCCCACAACAACCAATTTGCGCTCCGTGTTAGTGTGGGTTTCTACTTCCAAGCCCCGCACCACACACCATGTGCGTTTCAGTTCTTTGTCACATCGCCATGTTGCGCCAAACAGAACGAGATCGCCAAAGTCAACACAGCGCTGTCGTGAACGTTGGCTTGTGGTTGCGCACTTGTGAACCCTGTGACTCCCTTCGCTTTCAAAGCACACACAATGATTACGAATCATACTTTCAGACTTCCGGGAACATCACAGTGGCACTTCTCCGGTCACGTCTTCGCTACATGTGCTCGCAAAACACGGAGCTTCTAGCGTCCCGCCAAACCAAAACAATATTGGCGCCAAGTTGAATGTGCGTTGCTGCAACATTTTCTTCGACCAAACACAAACAACGAAAGGGCTCTAAGTTCCAGCGTACATCGGCGGCACTTTCCCCTTGTTCCCCCGTTTCCCCCCTTTTCTCCTGATTCGCGGCGTATCTTCGATATGGTTCTTCGACAAGACACACCGGAAGTCGAGACGCTGTGTACGTCATTCAACTCCGCAAATAAGTCAATCCAAGAGCAAATTCAAGAGCGGAGGGCGGGGCGTACTTCTCCCTCGTGCAAGTCGAAAGAGCGGGAGTTTCAGATGTGGAGAGGTTCTGACTCCGACTAAATTACGTCCTGTGGCGTAAATATTGCTCAAAAAAATTTTCTTTTTCGTGGAAGGTTTGTTTTGTGACATGCTTGTCCCAATTAGGCTGTTTAAAAAAACACAGTTTTTTTTTTTTTTGCAGTTACCCTTTAAAGCTGCAGACAAATTAACACCTCGATCGCTTGGCTAGTTTTAAATTCAAATAAAGACCAGTATGTATAAAATTAGAGCACCAGATGATGCTCCTTTATGTCACCGACTCTGGCAGACACAAGAAAAAACTCGACCGAGCAATAAATCACTGCCTCGGCGCATAGAAAGACGTACGGCATGAGTTCATCAGTATGAGATCTGGAGAGATTTCAAGCCGGGAGTACTAGTGAAACTGCCCTACAAACGTTTGTGAGACAGAAGATAAAAGGGGGATTAACCTCATGGCTACATTTATCTTTTACCAATGACAGTAACATTTCCTCTGACAAGAAAGTGCCAGTCACCTGAAACCCCTCTACTCGTAACAGATTACTAAAAAGGTAGCATCATCACAAAAAACAGGAAGGGACAACCACAAACCCTAGAAGTAACCTAAGGATGTGTAAAGGTCAATATGCCAAGAGCAGATCAATAAAAGTGCAGAAGTTGTTGTGAAATGTTCAGTAAGCAACATTACTATATTTGTGCACTTAAAGTTTCACATGAGCAAAACTGTATGATCTGAGGTGAATATTAATCATTGCGTGGCCCTATGTGATGCTTAACATGGAAACTTAATTGCATAACCCATTTTTTGCAACTGTTTGCAAAACAGGCAAAAATCAATTAATTGTAAACTGTATAATTTCTCGTTTTTTCCATAATTGCCAGTTTTTCAGTAACTTTGAGCAACACTGTTTGCTTGATGCAAGTGCACTCCAAGTGAAAATGACAGAATCCAGATTAAGACCTACTTTTGCACAAATTCAGGAATGCAGCGAGCAAATGTCTCGGGTGGGAGCAACACATAACGTACCGATTGTGGTTTCACAGAATTTTTTGTCGGCGACTTCTCTGGCCAAGTTTGCCCCCATCAGGACACACATTTCAATGTTGAGGAGCTTGTGGATGACATTGGAGATCAGTTCAATACCTCCACCTCCTGGTGCGATGTCAAAACCCTGCAGCGCACAGTCCAAAGATGAGTAACAGGCCAAATAGAAACTTCAATGTGATCATGGCAAAACATCTAATGAATTTGATTTGCAGGTTTTGTTAAGTCGGTGTACTTATTTTAGTTTTGATGTTATTGTCTCGGTCGTTAAGGTTATACGTAGCAAAGAAAAGGAATGATGATCAGTAATGACAGGAAAATTCAAGCAGTGCTTAATCTCTCTGAGCGCAATCCACGAAGTAGATATGGACTATGGGTTGGATGCAGACAGAAAGTCTGCAAATGAGGATAGCATGAGGGTAACGCACAATCACCATTCGTGCAGGGTTCTACAAATATCCTTATTCAGGTGGTCGAGCCCCAAAAGTCAACTCTGTGATTTGGGTCGATACTAACTTTGGGAAAAGTTGGATAGTTGAAAGCCTTTTGCAGTAAGCATGTTTACAACCCTTTTTAAAAGGCTGATTAGTATGTATTTATCGAGGCATATGCTCCTTGCCTTATTTGTTATTAATTCACATCGTACCAAAGGCAACAAGAACAATGATAATTATAAGTAGGAAAAGGGATGAAAGGCACATATTATCATAAGCTAAATCATGGGCTCCCAAACTGGGCTCCCAGGGTTTGCCCAAAGTACCCCCATGTGCCCCCCAATCTCCCAAATTTCCTAAACTGCCCGTACCCCAAAGTAAGCATTTTTTCATTTTAAGCGCTATTTTAGCAGATCTGAGTCGCTAAATAATGCACAACCAGCAGAAAACAATAATGTCTTTTTTTTTTTTCAGAAGCACCCATCAACGCTGTGCCCATGCACAGTGTTGATGGGCGCTCAAGATGCGCAATTTGACTGCATAGTCACAGAAAGTTGTCTGCAAGTATAGTATGTGGAATATAATTGTTCCCAAGGTCTATAGGCTTCTTAATTGCTTTATTGTATCAATGCCGAGACTGCAAGCTGTTCCTCGGCTATCAGTAAAGTGAGAGAGGCATCCCTCGAGATTGCAAAGTTTGAAAGCCCTCGGAGTGGCTGCTTCAACTCACCTTGATAAGGGAGAGTCCTATAGCTCCTGGCTTGACCTTCCCCACCAATGGCCTGCAGGTGGGCACAATGAACTTGTGCGGCAGCACAAACACGAGGACATCGGCATCCTCACAGGCGGCCACGATTTCAGGGACGGCACTCTGCACAAAGCGTTTCCCAATTCAACCTCGATCTGGGCAGTCTCACTGTGACAACAGCAAGCGAGCAACCTATCGATGAATCCTCGAGCCATTGTGGATTGTAAAAAATCTATTCAGATCCAAGTTGATATGCTGCTTCCCACGAAGCATAATTATATTATATACATGAGACCCTAGAAAACTCGGAGGGCATGAGTTATTGTTGAGGGCAACTTTTTTCCCGTAACCCTTTTATTACCAAATTAAATTTATGTGCTAAAAGAACAGTAAAGTGAATTCATTCTACAACCAATTGGCCCATGGCCACTTGCACATCAGTGCGTACAAAGTCCTCAATTTCCGGTGCATATATTTCAAAGTCTATTTTCAACGCAATCTGAACTCCGACTGCCGTGACACAAAATATTAAAACGGCTAGTGAATCTGAAAGTCTCCTTGTCTGCCATCTGAATGGCTGATAATATTGTGCGAAAGTAAAATGTTTTCACTTTACTGCTTTCTCAAATTAATTATATATTCTAGAGAGCATTTCAGATTGTGTTGGACGATGAAGAGCAATAAATCAGAAAGTCTGTTCAATGCATAAGTTCTAATAAGAGTCAAGATAGTTCCGTTACAGTTTCAACTTCATCTTCTATTGTCACAACAGTCTGGGTAGCATACCTTTGAAATAGTGGAAAGCTTGACAAAAAGTAAACCAGTTATGTTAAGTTTAGAAGATAACTTGAGAACAGTGACATCTTCCATTTTTAATAACTTCCTACTATTTTAATTTCAGTCAGTACAAGTTTACCCCAGGCACCGTTTGGTGGTGTGTCAAGCGCTACAAAATTCTCGCACTCCATGTGTGGCACAGGACTACCAGGCTACAAACACTTCAAAATACTCGGGAATTGATATTTCTATTTCAAGTTTACAAATCTAAACTTGAAACTTGTACATACTTACGTTCCTACAGTACCTGCCTTTTGAGGTATGGAGACATTGCTTTATGCCGTAGATCAGAAATTTATCTAGTGCAGTACAACAACTGCTAGCCTGGGGTCTTTAACATCTACTATGCAGTAGTGATAGATGAATGCATGCCGGTACAATGCTAATCCAGATCGAAAAGGGGCAGGACCGGGGACTGAACCCAGAGTTCTCACTCCAAGTTCTCCGAGCTGTAATGTACTAAAACATTTGCTGTCCTTCTAATTTCAATCAGAAAAAAAAAAGGCATTCAAAGTCCTGATCTTCTACTAATGGATTCAATATTTAGCATCCGTGTAGAGTAAACAAAGGGCAACCTGAAATTTCCATTGACTTTCCACAACTACTCCTGTAGCTCAACACACTGCAACAGTAATCAGAGAGGGTTGTGATGCTCTCACAGGAAGTAATAATCATGATAACGAAAAAGCTTCGGTGACACAATCTACAAAAAAACAACTCAGTCGGTACTATTTTTTTCCTTATGCCCCGCATTCTTCTAGGCAAAAAAGAAAACAACACCATTATCTTAAGAGGAAGTCAGAGCCCAAGGTTATGTAATCTTTGACCATGATCATGAGTCCAAAGTATGAGACCTAAGTACAACACATATCTTTCCCACAGCTCTCACACTTTTTTTCTTACATCCAAGTTATGGTTCTAAGAATGTGGTACAATGGCTGTTGGTTTAGCTGCTTCATCCACAGAAGAAAACTGTCTTTACACAAAAGGTCAGAATAAATAACTTGAGAAAGAGTAAAATTAATGCTGTTCTAGAGTCATCTCAATACTTCTCAATCACTCTTTTGTAAAAGATTAAAGTTAGTAGACTATGTTTAGTTTCTTGATGCACACTTATGAACAAATCTGTCTTCAAGATATACGCATGCAAATGCTGGATATGCTTTATGTTGCTGAAAAACTAAGAGCAGGCATCAAAGAAAAAAGAAAGAAGAAAAGTTGTTTCCTCAAGATAAAGGCAAGAAAAGAACACTCACAACGTTTTCTGGTAGCTTGTAGCCAGGCAGATACTTGACATTTTCATGTTGTGTGTTGATGATTTCCGTCAGCTTCCTTCCATCTACTATCTCCTCATAAACATACATCCTGACATTATGGTCAAAGATATCGAATTTCTTGACATTTTCTCCTATGATGCGGGCAATAGCAGATCCCCTAGAAAGCATAAAAAAGAAGTGCTTGCATCACGGACAAAATGGTACCAATGACATATCGGATCAGTTGCTTGTTGGCCTTGTTCTGTGTAAGGGTCATCTTCCCGAAGGCTAAACATTTTGGTTCATTTAAAGTTAATTTGCGACATCAGTAGGCAATTCATTTGTTATTTTCACATAAAACAGAGTCAAGCTCTCAGATGTTAATTTATATCATTTACAACAAATATTGTAGAATGTACTAAAGATGAAATGAGCAATAGCTATTTTATGACTATTTTTTTTTTGTGCTTATCAGAATGTATTTTGGTTTATCTTGCAAGATTAATATTTTCAATAACATATATAAAACAATACATTCAAATTTTGTGTCTAGATTAGAAAATATTCTTGCAAAGGCTGCTTGTTCTGCAAAAGCTTCTTGAAATGTGCCACCTAGTCTGTTTGAAAAGTCATTAAACTGATTTTAAAGCTCAATATTATTTATCTGGAAGCATGTCCCCTTTTTGATGAACAGTTTAATATCTTTATACAAACCAAAAAATAAATTATCACACAAAAAGTAAACAGTAAACCTCTTTCCACATACCCAGCCTGCATTTTTTTTAGGGGGTGAAGGCAGGTGGTATGGAGGGTAGTGAATATTGTCCCTTGCATTTGTACCTGTCATAAAAAAACTAATTGGCCATGAAGCAGCATCATTGTATACAACTAAATACCAATGGGAGATATAAATATTTTTTTTTTGTTGCTGATGCAACCGATCTGTGCCGAGATTTGCTTGTGACAGAACTGACAGTTATGCGACTGACCACTGTTATATGAATGATCGTTACACGACAAACAAACTGGACAAATTTATTTTTTATAAAAAAAAAAAGAATAATTTGGAATTTAATACTTTTAACACTACAGGTATGTATGTCCGTTTAATCACTGGAAGTAATTTCTCATCAAGATATGAAAAATAGCACATAAAATATTCGTTACACCACTGATACATCAAAAAGGTATGCTCTTACTTCTATTTATTCATAAGCTAATTAAATTTTAGGTTTTGGCCCAGGGTGAATGGCTCCTGTTGTAAGACTTTTCTGAAAACGTGTTAAACAGTCTGCATACTTACAAGTTGAATATGGTCGATATCAGCAGAAGTTTTTAAATAAATTTGTATATCTTTCATTATACTACTAACATTCAGGTCGGTCACACTTGTTTCTTTTTAAAGTATGTAAAAATATAACTACTTCAGCAACACTGAACACTGAGATCACATCATAAATTGGAGCCGACATAGGTGTACGATTTTTTTTTTTAAATCAAACTTATAAAAGTTTTTTTTGCTAAAGCAAGAGTTTCTGCCTTTGAAACTTGTGTGATAGTAAGCAGGGACAAAACAAATGCTGAAATTACACATAGGACCCGATCTAAGCTCTTTTTTTTTTCTAGAATATTCTTAATTATGAGAACTCCCAAACATTTGTTTTTAGGACACCCAGATGCTATTCTATACAAACTATATTTTATGAATTATGGGAGGAAGGCATTTATAAATTACTTGACAGTCACATTAATGTTTAATTTTCGGGAGAATGTAAATACTTTCCTTATCGCAAAAAAAAAAAAAAAAAATTACCCGTTTTTGTTTTCTAAAATTCAGCCCACATGGTGCACCAACAGCAGCTGTCATGAATCATCACTGATCTCTATTGTAGTAAGCTGAATCATGCATTGAGGCTCGTCTTGCTGGGGTCTAGCGGCACCGCCGGCAGCCATTGCCTGACACCAGTTAATGCATGGGACTCTATGGGAGAAACGGGCAAAACTGATATTTCTGACCTCACTAAGTTGTTGTCAACAATAAAACTGTGTTTTCCAGTAATGAGTGCGTGACAATGTTGAAAGCGCTAGAATATCAATGTTTTACTTCTTTTTTTTTTTTTTGTGGTTGACGGTTGCAACTTTATTGGGCGTAAACCGTGGTGCGGTTCCATGAGAAAAGGGCTGCTGAGAGTCAAAGTGGAGTCGTTAGTGATCTCAAAGTCATCAGAGCTTAGCAGACAAGAAGCTAGAAGGACCTTACTGGGGACATTCGCGTCATTTCAAGCAAATGTACAGAGTACTTGTGGCACAAGCTTTTGCTTTATCTGCAGTGAGGGCTTCTGTGACAAACTAAAGCTGTCCTGTCCTGTGCTGTGTGCTATAGTCATCTTGTCCTTGTTTTTTTGGCATATATCCCCATTATGAATCAGAACCAACTATCCCGAATCGCAGTCTTAAAGCTCGGAGCGTGTCATTCGTTCGTTGAACATGTCATTTACTTAGCGACTGAAGCAACTGACACCGGCGCAATCGGTGGTGCTCCGGCACATTTGATTTTTTTTTGTTGATTTATTTATATATACTGTTGGCTGTGAACTGGCAGCCAAGGCAGGAGAGAGCATACAGAGCATACACATAAGAAAGCCTAGTTACACACAAGTGAAAGTGAAAAAAAAAGCATCTAGGGCTGCACATTTGAGAAATAATCCTGCAATGCTCAAGCAAATTCCTGAATGGACGAGGCGGCGGTAATGCTGGCGGGAAGATTATTCCATTTGTTAATGGTGTGCGCGAAAAAGTAGTTTTTTAAGCATTCAGTTCTGCTGTGAGGCACCACAATTGTGTTGGTATACTTATGTCTTGTATGATGAGATGTGTTAAATTGCGTAAATCTGTGGAATGAAAGGCGAGGCGAGTCCTGTACAATGGTATGTAAAAGCGTTCAATGATTAATTTTGTGCTGCGGTTGAAAGAAGCTCAACTTTCGATCCATTGTGCAAATTGGTGATGCAACTCATTCTTCTGTATTCATTGAAAATGGAGCACAATGCATACTTCTGAACCCCCTCCACACACCCGACTCGAGCACCGCCTACAAGCATCAATATTCCTACTTTTGTGTGTTTCTCGCATGTACTTGCATGTATTGCCTGCTGTCAAGCAATGGCCGCCGGTGGTGTCACCGACGGGCTCCCGATCCGCGATCTAGCCTACATCAGTGGGAACCATGGTGGCTCAAGGATTTTGCGGTTTGATAAATGTACATAATTAATCTTTAAACACCTTGTTCTCCCTTCCACTACTTCTTCCCCCCCCCCCCCCTCCAGTGACCTTGAGCCATCCTTGTCAATAAGGAACTTTAACAAAAAAAATCATTCTTGATCAAATTTACAGACTAAAATATTGACAAAATCAGTCAAACACACTCAACAAAAAGAGAATCAGCTGCCTGCATAATTTTATCTTTTGTGCTATTTTTATGCAGGCTACAGGAAAGTTATTCACACTTTTCATGAAGAGAGGTCGTCAGAAAACTATAGCTTGAGAAGTTAACATGGCAAATCGCACGTGATGAATGAGCTTGAACCTACCAAACTGCGTCCTCTTATCTAAAGGAACCCTGCACATTATTCGCATGCCTGCACACCTATGGTTCGTCATGGCTCTCTGAAGCTGCTTGACAAAGGCAAGTTGATTGTGCCCGAACAAATGCGCTTTGAATAACCTTGACTTTCAAGCTCCTCCCTGTTAGCCCATAATAGTGCGTGGTTGTGTTTCACACAAAGAGGCACTGAATTATCCGGTGTGCAAGTTGCATTGTTGTTCCCAAATTTCCATCAGAGTATTTTGTATGATGGTGTGAACTCCATGTGTTTTTCCTTCTAAATGTGGACCTTAACTGATTAAAATGCAGACACAAAAGATTTCTGTGGTCATATTGTTTGTTTGGTTCGTTGCCAAGATTATTAAAACTGGCACCCGCTTACGCATATACTGTGATCACAATACAGATATGCAGGCTTATCAATGCAGTTTTGCTGACCGCAAAAAGAAGTGCAACATATACAAAGGTGCAATCTACATACCAACTTTTTGTGAAAACGGTCGACTATAGACCAACACGCGGCCCTGACGTCACGCAGCTGCGGTGGCGCTGTCGACGGCACTGCGCATGCGCAGATGCTTCACTTCTCCCGAACTCGGTTTCTGCGCAAGCGCAGTGCCCAGACCTGGTGTGGGCAAACGCGGGCTTGTTTGTAAACAGTGTGTCGGTCTATAGGGGGATGCAACTTATAGGCCAGAAAATACTGCATATAGAAGCGACAATGCCAAGCTTTAAAGAAACGGTGCAATAATTTTCGCACTTTGAGTAAATACTGCTTAGAATTAATCTTTGACGTTCATGACCTACGAAAAGTTAGTTTTTCTCTCCCCGCAGGAAGCAATGAAAGAAAATGAACAGCGTTCACTTTCTCAACCCGCACCCCCAAGTGGTCACGTAATCTGGAGCTGATTATGTGCCCCGCCTATATTTATCATAGCCACACGCTGGGGTTGGCAAACCACAGGGCACCTGCCGACTTTCAGACAATGCTAGGGTTTGGCTATTTCTGTCGTTGGAGCAATTGGACATGAGCCACTATTCAAGTGCTCGTCGAGCCATTGATTGTCACGGGCCGAAATCGAGTGTTCATGCAATGATTGTGTCCACTCTATGACCTACAATAAAATGTTGTCACATAAGAGACTACCGTAAAATACCGCCGAAGCACCCACTCCGTTCAAGCGCCCACTATTAACATTTCGCAAACTTGGAAATTCTACAAATAATACGTTAAGCGCCCGATTCGACCGGACAAGCGCCCATGTCTAGGTTAACCTAATTTTCAGTGAAAGTGGGGTAGGTGCTCACTTGGTATTTTACGGTATGCCAACACTGAGACCCCCATGCTATGTCCTTATATTTTGTAAACAAGAAACTGAAAAAAAAAAAAATCTAATTTTATTTCTGAAGTTATGCTGCAACAAAAAAGGTTCTTATTTAGTGGCATTGCGAGCGACTATACTTTGGTCCCAGTAGTGCCAGAAAGCTCGAGCATGTAAAGCAAAAAAACATGCCAACTCAATATCATTGCAATACGCCATTAAATGACCCCACAGGGTAGACAATAAACAAAGGAATATGTTGTAAATTCATCTGTTTTTGTAGCCTAACTTACATACCCTCAACTAATAAATTAACATTTAATGCACTTCTCAATGTGCCCTCAAGTTAATAAGAAAGCAAGAGCAGTAACCAAATGGATCCAATGGCGTCTTGGCCCTTGGAGATGGGACTGCATCGATAGGCAACTTAATGTACCACACTGGGATTTACTACAGTAAAAAGTGACAAGGGTAACCTCCTGCAGCCATATATCTGGTTGTGGTAACCTCCTGCAAACATATACCTGACTGATGGCAACAGTCCCCTCGCTGAAAACAGACAATCTTTTAAATGAAATTGCTTTCTTGGTGTGTACACCATTTCAATATTTACAAGTCCTCAGCTCAGCATGCAATCTCCTCAGCCCAGCAAGTGCATGCTCGTCAATTTGCAAAACAAGCAAATCATGTGCCATACGCACACACAATGAAAATGGAACAGGCTAGAAACCCTTTTTTGGAAAGGTCTATAGTTGTCGGTGGACGATTACGTAATTCTTTTTTAATAAAACAGACCGAATGGATACAAAATCAAGAGAAAAATGGCTCGTGTTATTGCAGCTACAGGGAAGCCCTTTACACTATCGGTTTGTATAGTCAGGTGAGTGTTGGGGAGTCCATCGAGCTTGCACTCCTTGCTCTGTGACAGTGGCATGTACAGGGGGGGAGAATTTCCAGCCCCCAGCCCCAGCCCCAGCCCCAGCACCACCCCCCCCCCCCCCCCCAAAAAAAAAAAAATTCTGGCTATGTTATTGCTTTGTGAGGTGCCTTTCTAGCAGGGTTGGGCAGAGATAATCTGAAATGTATTTGGAAATACAAATACAGGAATGCATTTTGCCGGGCAGCTAATACTTATACATTTTTTGGAAAAAAGCTTGTTTGTGACATGAACCCGTTTATAATTGGCAAAAAGTTACTAGTGATGTCTCGTTAATATGAACACCTCTGTCCCCCCCCCCAGAGATCGTCCATAATGCAAGTTGTTTATAACGAGAAAAAAATTCATGCATTTTCCCTGTTTGTCCCCGAAAGTGGTGTCCATATAGCAGGCTATCCATATTAACGGGGTCCACATTAACGAGACACAACTGTATTTGTAAAACACAAATGGAACAACTTTGCACTACATATTTTGTCTACTCATCTAGAAGCTTGTTAAATAGCTTGTTGATCAGCTGCTGCCGATTTGGGCAGAGTCATGTTAGCAAATGAAATTAAGCATGCCACAAGTGACAACAAATACTGGTTCATATTAAAACAAACAAAGACCATTTTCACACTGAAATAAGTTTTAAACATTGCGAAAAATTTTTTTTTCTAGTTTTTAATATATATGAAGACCATCCTTGGAGGTGGTAATAGGTAGCCTTCGTTGACCAGGGTAAACAATTCCTCCAATAAAAAGAAACTCATACTAACCGCAAGGTAAAGATAGAGGTTGAACTTCGGCGTTCTTGAGCCCGAAATTATTTTCGTATAGAATTGTCATTTTTCTTTTACATGAAGCTGGGGGAACTAAGCGAGTAGCAGGTTGGAAATACTTTCCATCCATAATGCGGTGCAGTTCTCATCTAGATATATTGCATGTCTTTGAAGCAATGTCCCAAAACCCTCTAAAATTTGTTTTATATCTACTCAATTATGCCCGAAAAATCGGCATCCTCTGGCCCCATGTCAGTACCTAGGTATTTTTGCGGACACTTCAAAACATCGCCTTGTGATGAAATGATGCTCTTTTATCTGATTGCCTGAAGGAGAAAACTTTTTGCTTGCCCTAGTAAATGGAGCTGGGAGAGCAATATACAGTTATAAAGCTCGTACCCACAGTGCCTCCAACGTTTTGATTCCACAAAAATAGTTGCCCAACTGAGGCACCCGGGAACACATGTGTTATCTTTGGAAAATGGAGGAAAGAGCCAATGTCAGGATCATAATGTCTAAACAAAACAATGATTGATAACGAAGACTCAAGGTCCCACTGCACCTTCTACCCCTCTGAAGCATGGAAGAAAGAAAGAAAACAGTCTTTTGAACTTTTGCTTGGGGGTCATTGATTTCTCGATTATTGTAATGAGATACATCGGCCGAGGATTGTATCACGGTTCAAGGAATACACTAAAAATGTATTCCAATACTGAAATACAGATACTGGTTGAAAAATTGTATTAGGATACAGAAACATAAATACTAAAAGTATTTCTGAAATACTATCGCGGTACATTTGTATCGTGATACTGCCCAACCCTGATTTCTAGTGCCTAGACCCCCGATTTCTAAAACCTATTCTCAATCCCTAAAAAAAAAAAAGATGAAAAAAAAAAAAAAAAAAAAAAAACTGGTTACACGTAATTTGGGCTATTAACGAGACTATATTTACATATCGCGTACAATTTACAAGGCTCGGTTTTCGAAGATAGCGTGAAAGTATTTTCGCATGCTCCAATTTTCGTGCGAATTTCGGCTGGTTTTTCGCACATGTGTACTAGCCTTGGCTGTAGCACGTGGCTGCCTGCAGCCTGCATTATCTAGCCGATAATCTGCCAAGATGAGTAAATGGAAAGACAAGGGTAATCATATGTCTGAGTAGCGAACTCGGCATGAACAGGTCAACGCTATCTAGAGACGGCCAAGCCCGATAAGGTCGAGCTAGAATGTTAACCAAACAGGACTGCCAGCACAGCGCAATCAAAGGAAATCTTGCTCGCTACATAGCTACCGTCCAAGCAAGGTCGAATTACGCGGGCAGTGGAACGGAGAGCCGCAGCGCGACATTGGACAAATGTGTAAACAAGAGCGTGCTTCCTGCTCGGAGCTGAGTCACCGCGCAACATCGAGACGGAAATCGTGTTTTTCTGCCCGACAAACAGAAGGACAAACAAACACAGACAGTCTCAAGGGCGCCCCAAGCAATCGGGACACACCAACTATAAATAGTGAAAGATCGTTACCAATTTCCCGAGCCGATTATGGACACCTTGTGCGCCGGCATGTTGCGTTCGTTATTGAAGGCTTCGGGGCGTAACGCGCGGAATAAAGTAGCTTTCACGACTCGAGAACGAACATACGGCACTGGAAGACCAAGTGCGATGCGCTGCCCGTGTCGACCCCAACGTCGTCCTTCCTTGTTTCGCTGGAGGCACCGGAGGAGGGGGCGGTCAAAACGAAACTAGCGCCGCTTGGAAATGCTGTGGACGCAGATTGTACCAGGGCGCGTAGTGTCGTAGGATTCAAGAAAACCAATAACTCTATGAAGAAAACAGGAGGAACAGGATAAGCGAGAGCGATAACAAGAAAACAAGTGATTGTGAGCATGTCTCGCCAGACTATGTGTCGACAGCCGTAAACTGAGGCGCTGGAGACTTGGAGATTCCATGGTCCAAAGTGTTCAAAGTGCTAAAAACGCGATTTTGCGCATAATGCAAGAAAATAAATCGTACAATAAGAATTAGCGCAAACTATTTCTAGCATTTTGTGCCTTCTGCAAATGCGATTCGTAAATAAATGCGAATAAAATAATTACACCTCCCGCGGCTACTCACACACAGCCAGAAACGGAGCCGTTGATCTAGCAACGTTGTCTGCTCAAGACCACGATGGGCAGCGCGCTGAAAAGGTAGAGCGCGTCGCGTTGGTTTTCTACGTTTTCAGTCACGATGCTGTCGAGGCAGTTCATTAGTGATGCGCGAAAGTATTTGCCCATTTATCGAGTAGTCGCCAATACCCATGCCACTCCCAAGGCGTGTGTCAAACGAGCGGCCGCCCGCCATTACGGCGGCGGTGGCGGCGGTCACAAGCCTGTCCCGTTCAAACCACCGACCATGGACGATCTGCCCACCTTCTCGGGACCTTGGCAAGAAATGTACAACGCCACCCAGTCGAGATTCAACCGACAGCTTTTGCTTGGTGTTGCCTTTTTCGCGGGCACAGCGCTCTACGTTTGGTACTTGGACATCGTGGACTTCGTCGAGGCGCCTCCCATGAAGAACCCCTCCGAGAAGACGGCCAAGGTGTCCAAGACACTCGGAGGGCGCTCAGTGCAGCCCGCTTCTCACACTAAGCTCCCGGAGGAAGTCCCTTACTTGTTGGTAGGTGCTGGAACGGCGTCGTTCGCTGCCTTCCGGGCAATCAGATCTGCCGACCCAACTGCCAAAGTCCTCGTCATTGGAGACGAACCCTACATGCCGTACATGCGCCCGCCACTCTCCAAGGAGTTGTGGCTCGCCGACGACGCGGCGAAGCAGCTGAGCTTCAAGCAGTGGAACGGCAAGGAGCGGAGCATCTTCTTCGAGCACGACGACTTCTACTGCCGACCCGAAGACCTCATGGAGCGCGACACCGGTGGCATCGCCGTCGTCAACAACTGTCGAGTTGTTCGCGTTGACTCGGAGTCGAGGAAGGCGTATCTCGAAGACGGGAGGGAGATCCGCTACGAGAAGTGTCTGATCGCCACCGGCGGCCGACCCAAGACGCTATCTGTTCTGGACCGGCCCGAATTTGCGGACAAAGTCACGCTGTTCCGCACGGTGGCGGACTTCAAGGCACTGGATGACCTGTCGCGGAAGGCCAAATCCGTGGTCATCGTCGGCGGTGGCTTCCTCGGCAGCGAGCTGGCGTGCGCGCTGGGCAGGCGAGCTCGCAAGACAAACCTCGTCGTCTACCAAGTTTTCCCGGAGAAGGGCAACATGGGTCGCATCCTGCCGGAGTACCTGTCTCGCTGGACGATGCGCAAAGTGCGGGACGAAGGCGTCAAGGTCTTGGAGGGTATCAGTGTCACCGACGCACAACCAGGACCCCGCGGCCAGGTTTCCCTAACGCTGAGCTCGGGAGAGACCATAGTCACTGACCATGTCATTGTGGCCGTCGGTCTGAAGCCGGACACTGAGCTCGCCAAGGCTTCCGGACTGGAGGTGGACGACCGCCATGGCGGCTTCAAGGCCAACGCAGAGCTGGAAGCCCGCTCCAATCTGTGGATCGCCGGGGATGCGCTCTCCTTCTACGACCCCAAGTTGGGGCGACGTCGCGTCGAGCACCACGACCACGCCGTGGTGACTGGGCGCCTGGCCGGAGAGAACATGACTGGAGCCCGTAAGCCGTACCGGCACCAGTCCATGTTCTGGTCGGACATTGGCCCCGACGTTGGCTATGAGGCCATTGGGATCGTTGACTCTAACTTGCCAACGGTCGGGGTGTTCGCCAAGATTACCCAGCAGGAGCTATCAACCAAGGCGGCGGCCGAAGGGGCCGTTGCTGCAGCCGCAGCGGCTGCCACGACTACGCAGCAGCAGGCGGCGACCCAGAAGGACGATGTGCCCCGGCCACCCGAACTGGGTGATGACTTTAGCAAGGGAGTCGTGTTCTATCTGCGCGAAGACGGCGTTGTGGTGGGCATCGTCCTGTGGAACGTATTCAACCGGATGGCGGTGGCACGCAAGATCATCAACGAGCATAAGGCGTTCACGGATTTCAGCGAGCTCGCCAAGTTATTCGACATTCATGGAGAAGACTGAGAGTTGCTCCTGAACCTGGCCTCGTGTGCATCGAAACACATCCTGGTGATTGTGACAAGTTCTTTTAGGAGTGTCGGCACCATAAAGTGGCACAAGATGTTTGTTACGTTTAGACTGATGTGGTCCGAAGCAGGGCAGCGCTGGACCAACCTGAAGCGATACGACTTGTGGCCATACTCTTTGGTTGTAGGGATGTTTAGGATCACACCTTGGATTATTTGTTGCTCCGACAGATGTGTGGCTTCCGGTCGTTGTTATTGTTATGATGAGTACAAGGTTTTGTTTTGTTTCATATTTGCTTTGTTGAGCCACACTCAGCAGACAGCCTCGAGGAATTCTGTCATTCCTGGCGATGATCATTGCTGCGGACATCATTGGTAGAATGCTGCTTCTATGAACTGTATTTGCCCCAAATATGCTTTTATATATTTTTTTTCACATCGAACTGCAGCACCCAGCACATTTTGAATTTCCTGGGTCTCCTGCAATAAATTGACAGCTCACGATCCATGGCTTCTGGTCCTCATCTTTGCAAAGCTTTTTAGTGCAAAACTGAACATCATTTTCCACTACTATTTTTTTCCATAAAAAGAAAGAAATTAAGACAAATTATTGCACCACATTGACAGCTGTTGATCCTCTATCCGGCATCGATAATATCCGAGATAAAGGTTATCCGCCAGGCTAACATTCCGAAGAAAGGCGAAAGCATCGAGACAACGCGATATTTTCGAATATTTTCGGTAATTTCCGCATTTGGATACTGCTGCCATCTGGCAGCCACACCTCAAAAAACGATTCTATCGCATCTCGCTCCTTCAACTAGAGGGCGCGACCGAACTTAGCACCAGCAGCTCCAGCTGCTGCAGCGTTGGCGCGCGTGCTTGCGCTGCTGCCGCCCTGCCCCTGCGCCGGCTGAGCCTGGCTGAGCGAAGTGCACGCAGGCTTCACTGCCGCGTCGAGTAGCGTCGAGAGCATTATAACCGGCCGTCTTGTCGGCGGGTGTTCGGCGGTGCTGAGGATACCGTTATACGCGATCACTACTCCCAGCGTCTTCTCTCGACTTCCACGGGAGCTCTGCAATTCAAAGAACCCTAGGTAAGCGCACATTTGTTTTCCCCGTTTATTATCAAATCGCGCGGGCGCTTCGGCGCTTCAAACGCGCTCCTGAAACGTTCGAACGTGCGGTCCAAACACGGGGGAAGCGACTATTTCCCGGTCCGCTGTAATCTGTCGCGCCGCGAGTGCTTTAACGAGCGAGCGGATGCACAGTAAAGAAGCGTAAGGATTTCAGGCGGTTCTCTTATCCCGGTGTTGGAACCCGCGGGTGCACGTTTCAAAACCAGTAGTGCTCTGTTTCGTGCTTCGTACGCGATCAGCACGCCACCGTTTTCTGGGCCGGGGGGAAGGAAGAAATAGGCTCAATCGACTCTGCACAACAGATGTGAGCGCTGCGACGCGATCGCCTCCGTGACACGAACCAGCTGTGTGAAGCAAGCGACCCACGAAATTGGCGAAAAAAACAAACAAAACCGCGGTACAAAATGCGCGGGGACTATATATTTTCTCCGCATTTGCATCTCGTGGTTGTCACTCCGAGTCCTTACGCACATCATCGAGCAACTGCAAGGACACGACGCACGACACCTCGCACCGGCCTGTGGTTGCGGACACGTGCCAACCAACTGCGTCCCGTGAACGCTTCTGCGATGCGCGTATTGCACCTATGAAGTCCCGCCTTTTTAGGGAAACATATATTTTTGGTTATTTTCAATCTAATGTTGTTGTTGTTGTTGTTTTTTACATAGTGTATATGTCCTTTTTGTACCTAAAATAGGCACGCGGTATGTAAATGCAAACGGCAACGTCGTAAAACTCATAGACTTCACCTGGAGACAAGCAAAATAAAATAACGGACCACACGACACTGTATCTTATCTTCCTTGTCTCAGGGGTTAGTTTGTGATGTATTCTTTGCACCTTCGCACTTTCTCCTTTTTACAATTGTAAGCCTCTCGTGATGTTTATTCGTTTATGAATTCGCTTATTATGGTAATTCAATATTTGTTATACTTCAGTATACGTGTAGTTCGATGTTTGACCTAAAATATTTCTGAACCGTTGTAAAAAAAAAATAATAATAAATAAAGACCGGCTCCTTCAAGAATTTTTGTATTCCTCCCTTTCATGTTGGTGTATCTTAGATTAGCCTTATATTATTTTATCGGGACATCGCGCGCGTTATAAACGCCAAAATCATTGTCTCTTTTTTCGGCAACCAAATCTTATAAGAACTGCTTCGCGAAGCGCGTGAATAATGCGCCAGACTTCTTTTGTACTTGATGAGCGAGCACAGGGACCTTGCGTATAGTACAAGTACCATCGGCGGCACCGAGAAAGGTAGCGTACAGAGCCAGGTCGCCAGGTTCCTTCGAATTACTTATGGTCACCCTTACAAAACTGTTGTAGCCCAAGGTTGCCTTAACTTAGTGTGAAAACCTCCTCGTGGTACGTGTGTCATGAGGACGCATAGAGTTATTATAATAAACACTAGAGGTTCCGTGACGCAAATTGATGCAGACAGCAACTAGTTACTTTTGCGGTGCTCCTGTGCATTTTTATGGGAAAACGGGCGTGCATTTTGTCTATTCGCCGGAAATTAACATGGAACACTTTGGTTATTTAAGTTGTACCGAATAGTGTGTACCTTGATTAACTCTATAAAAGTGCAATTCCTATAGTTAGCGCATTTTTCTTCGTCAGTGAACGATGTTTAACTTCGCTACGTTTCATTCCCAAACATGTGTTCCGCAGCAGGTGTGTAAAAACAAGCGACGATTCAAAGCAAAAGCAAAATAACGATCGAAATGAATATAGAGTGTGTTCAAGGTACGCCAGAATTCCGGTGACGCTTATATATATTGCTAATATGCCAGTCCAGTCGCTATATGAAAATGACCCGTCGTGCGTCATTATGGGCGGATAAAAACATTAAAACGTAAAGAATAAAGTGCGTGGGCTATGAAAGGTGTCTCTTTGTATTGTTTTCTCTGCCGGGCGTGCGGGTGATGTGTTGAACGCAGAAGCAGCAACTTCACACAGAGCAGAAAGAATAAAGTAGTACTTATTTAAAGTCGGAATATACTACGTGGCCTCCAATTTATTTTGATCGTATACATGCGCGGGTAGTTGCTGATCCAGTGTTACTGCGTAGTTCTTGCCGTCTCTCTTGGTTTCCAGGTGTCCATCTTTCGTTTGGCACGTATATCCCCCATGCTGAAAAGCGCCGACGTCGTGTTCGCGCTGACAGTGTCCGACAGTGAACAAAAATACACGTACGAAGCCGTTTCAGCACCGTTTTTAATCTGCTGAGTTTCAAAGAAAAATGCCGTACCTGGTCAGTTATCTCATCTGTCTGACTGAGAAATGTTCCAATCTACCTAGTGCGTACGAATTATTCGGAATATTTGCTCTTATGATCGAACGCAGGAAGAAAATGCACTCCCTTTTCTCCATAGAAATGCATTACCAAAAGTCAATTTTCGACTGGTTGCTGCCTGTTTCAATTTGCGTAAGTACACAAGCGGCAGTTGAGCCTTTAGCGTGGAATTATAATAACTCTGTGTGAGGAGGCGACTCGACTGCCCCTTGCTTCATCACTCCCGCATAACGCGCACACGCGCACATACACACACAAACGTATACGGCCACTGCTGCATACTCCTAAAGCAAGGGTAGGCAGAGATACTCAAAATGTATTTGGAAATATAAATACTGAAACACATTTTGCCGAAATACTAATACTCACATATATTTAAAAAAAAAAGTTTTTTTTTTTTTTTTTTGTGAAGTGAATTTTTGTATAACCGGCAAAACGTTGCTCTTTTGCAGAACAGAAATGAATCATCTTCGTGCTACATATTTTATCTTCTCATATAATAACTTCTGTAGCTTTTTTTAAATAGCTCGTCGATCAGCCGCTGCTGATTTGGGCAACGAGCCATGTTAGCGAACGAGATTAAGCGTATGCCACACGTATCAACGAACACGGGTTCGTATTAAAACAAACGAAGACCGTTTTCACACTGGAAAAAAGTTTTAAACAATGCAAATATTGTTTTTATATATATATATATATATATGAATAGCTCGCTTGGAGCTGGTAATAGGTGCTTCGTTGACAGGGTTTGTACTTTTAAGGTGAAAAACGAATCCTCCAGCGAAAACAAAAACTCATACTAACCACGAGGTAAAGCTTAAAGTTGACCCTGGGCGTTCTCGAGCCCGAAATTATTTTCGTATAGAATTGTAATTTTTCTTTTAACATAAAGGTGTGGGAACTAAGCGAGAGTCCAGTAGGTTGGAAATACTTTCTATTTATAATGCAGTTCACTTTCCGTTAGATATATATTCCAGACCTTCGAGGCAATGTCACAAGAACCTCTAAATTCGTTTCCTATTTACCCAAATGTCCCCGAAAGGTCAACATCTTCTAGTCCCACGTCGGTACCTTTTTTGTGGTCACTTCAGGACGTCACTTTGGAAGGAAATGATGTTCTTTTACGTGATGAGGTAAAGAAGAAATCTTTTTACTCGCCCTAGTAAGTTGTGCTGGGAGAGCAATGTAGTTGTAAAGCTCGTACCCACAATTCTTTAACGTTTTGATTCTACAAAAATAGTCGCCCAACTGAAGCACTCGGGAAGACAGATGTTTCGGAAAATAGGGAAGAAAGTCACCAATGCCGGGGTCATACTGTTCGAAACAAAACTTAATCTGCTTGATAACAAAGCTTCAAGGTCCCACCCACTGTACCTTCTGCGCGAAAGAAGAAGAAGAAGAAAAAAAAAAAAGACTTACGAGCTTTTGCTTGGGAATCACTGATTTCTCGAATATTGTAGCGAGACACAGTGGCCCGGGATTTCATCGCGATACAAGGAATATACCATAAATGCATTCCTATACTGAAATACAGATACGGTTGAAGAATTGTACCGCGATACAGTAATGTAAATATAAAAATAATTTCTGAAATACTATCTCGACACGTTTGTATCGCGATACTGTTCAACCCTGTCCTAAAGACACAAATACCAGCTCCCACTCAAATACTGTCAGGTTGAACACTTGCCGTGGCCCGAGCCCATGTGTTAGGAGTTCGTGCATACGTCTAGATTTCCTGAGGTCTCCAAACGTCTTGACTAAGGTGCCGGATTGGAAGCCTGTCGCAGTATCGAGGGCCGGAAAATAAGAACGCTTTAAATGAACAGGCCTAAATAAGCATTCGAATACAGAAACTGTGGCTTGAGCAAAGCTGACAAAAGAATTGTGAGGTGAATGACACATATATTCCTTATTTTTAAATGGAACACGTTGCTAATTACGACATTACAAAATAATTGTGACCCGAGAACTCACCAGGCACAAATAAAAGCGCATAGGAACGTTGGCGCAACCAGACGGTGCAGAAGGCTAATGACAATCTAACATTGTGCAATAGTTATGACACATTTAGGACGCCAAGCAAAGGAATTTGAACATTGTTACACATACACGAAGCGAGGGACTACGAACACTAATGCTGGTGATGCCAATGCGCAACAAAATGATAGGACGAGGGAACCCGCGTTTTGGTCCATTAATTGATCTGTTATTCCTTCTTATATCTTCGCTCGCACCTGTGATGCGCGTCGCGGCGACGTCGTCGTCTTTCTTCGCCCGCTTATTTTTGCGTTTTTAGCAGCGGACCGTGGGCCAGGCTTCAGTGGAAAGTGGCGTAGCCAGTGGGGGAGCTTATGGGGCTCCAGCTCTTCAGCCACTCCCCCCCGCCCCTCAGAACAATAAAAATAAAAAAATAGGTTGGGCGACGTTTGCCGGAGTTTGGAGACCCGTAGTCTAAACGAAGAACGAAACAGGAAATTGGAATAAAGCACACGATACCGACGGGGGGAAAGGGGTGGGGGGTGGGGGGTGGGGGGGGGATGGATTAGTGGAGGGAGTGAGTGAGTTGTTATTACAGGGGCGCAGACTGTCTGACACAAAAACAATGATGATGTTTATAAAAGACAACAACAAAAAAACAAATTTTTTAGGTGAGTTT